CAATCAATAAGCGTGGTCAAGTTTAAAGGATGTACATTTCTAACCCGTAATATTTGAATGTCCTAACTAGTATTTATCAATCCGATTCCTCAGACAGAACTCGCTGACGACATACTCACGGTTTTTCGGTTAGTTTCATATTTTTGAAGTGAAAAAGTATCTCATATGGAAAGCATCAATACCAAGTTATAAATTATTATCATCAACGAAACAGAAGATATTTATCCTTCCATAACATCTGGTCTTATTCTGATTGTACTTTTTAAGTTGCTCTGTGAAAAATCTCTCCTCTTTTCATATTTCGCCACCAAGTTTTATCGATTTTGAGTTCGAATTGTTATATTGTTAACAATTCGGCATTCACTCGTTGTTTATTGATGTTACGTGTGAGAATACGTTATTGTTCAGTAGAAAACCATTCAGTTTGGAGCGACAAGGGTACTAACACATTTTCATTCTCTGATTGCCCACACAGGTGCGTTTCTAGTTGCCTACGGGTTAACACTGATTGCTGGCGGTATACCCTTGTACTTTCTTGAAATCTTCCTTGGACAGTATTCCGGTAAAGGAGTGTTTCAGATATGGGAGTTTTCACCACTTTTTAATGGTAATAGTTGGAACAAGAAGCACACCTTTATATAATCTATTTCCTAATCTCATATTCATAACAAGAATAACTACTACATCTACATGCATTATCATTTTTGTTCCTGAAATGCACAGTTGTTTCATATTTTACCTTTCTTTCTAAAATAGGCCTTTGCGTTTATCGTTGATTTGAACATTTATTTTTGTCTAGTATTTTGAATGTACATGAAAACCATACGACAGAAAAAATCCAAAGCATAAGTCTTTAGTCATACAATAACACTGTGTTACAGCCACTGTAAATCTCTTTATGTGTCCAGTACTACAAGTGTATGCCTTGCATTACTTGCATTATCAGTTCTTTCTCGAAAGTATCTCCATATAGATCTATTTATCATAACAACTTTTTTTTTCCCCAGGGATTGGTATTTCTATCGCTCTACTGAATTTAGGTTACATCAGTTATGTATCTACAATGCGTTACTGGCTACTTGAGTATCTTAGACAGTCATTTACGACTGACTTACCTTGGTCATCTTGTGGACACACATGGAACACCAACTCATGTAGAGCATCCCAAATACTCTTGACCTCGAACAACGATGAAAGCCTATGGAACTCAACAACAAATGCAACCAGTTACCAAGACAATTCAACAGGTGTTTCATCAGAAGAAGAATTTTGGCAGTAAGTGCATGTTTATTCAGTTGAAGACCCAGATACATGTACGTGTCATTTTGCCATGTCTTCAGCGCAATCATTTTTTTATGAAACTGTCGCTGTCCCGTATGACAAACAATGTATAATTTCTACAGTACAAATATGAATAGACGTATTGTTTTATTTGAACGAATTATTCATTCTTATTTAAAACCCTGAACATCGGGGATATAAAAAAGAATAGTATACCAGCTGTTACCAAGCGAATGGTTCATAAGAGCTTGGGACCCCCATTTTTTAATTTTATTTTGTTTCCTTAACAAGGAGTCACACAAATAACCAATTTAATTCTGACCTAACCTTTTTTTATTTATTGTATCTGATATGACTATATTTCCCTTTCCAAACGCCTTGCTTGGTTAACCCTGTTATTGTTCAGCTTTTAGTTGGTAGCGTAAAGAAGTAATTCACTCGTTGGCAGCATATTATAATCCATTTGAATACTGTTCCTGATGTATGCAGCATGGTATTTAATCGAGGTAGCACTCTTATGTCGGCATCAGACCCGCACTATCGCAATGCAGCAAAAACACAACACATAAGATAATATTTTTTTTAAATGGAGGTATATTTCATATATGTCCGTCATTTTATGACCCTAGCTGTTGTTGTTAGGAATCAAATTCCCAAAAATAAATTATTAAATTTTGTGTAAACATTTTTCTTTGGTTAAGAAAAGTCTTCAATCGAAATAAAAGCATGCAAAAAGTGAAAAAAAAAAACTTAAGTTATCACACAAAATATAAGATAACTAAACTATCTTCTATATCACCGAATTCGCAAACTAATCAAGGTTATGTATTTTACAGGTACAATATATTATCGCTGTCAGGTGGAATTAATGAGGTAGGCTCTCTGCGATGGCGCCTCGTGTTATGGACAATTATACTCAAAGTCATCGTCATTATTGGTCTTTTGAAGAGTGTAAAGTCCGTTGGAAAAGTTGGTATATTTGCTACAAATAATGCATAAATTGATATTGTACTGCAATATAGTTATGCAGTGTTTAAAAGTTTGATTGGTAAAATACATCATCAAAACTGGTAATTAGTATTACATATTGGTATTAGATTTTGACATTACAGAAGAAATATATAGCATCTGTCTTTATAATTCTATAAATCCGCCGTGACTTTCCCATTACTTATATGTTTGTGTCTCCATATTCCAGATGATGCTTTTTACCACATTCTTTCCTCCGTTAATTGGTTTGGCAATGCTGATTCAAGCGTTTACTCAGAATGGCGCCCAAGATGGTCTACTATTCCTGATTACACCTGATTTTAGTAGACTGTCTGACTCCAAGGTTTGTTTATTATTGTTCAATGATACATACAGTATTTACAAGACTAAAGAGTATAAACAATAACGCTTTTTTCGTTATAAAGACAAAACAACAAAACAAATTGTATACACTTTTCTGTAATATTATGTGATTTGACAACATCGTACCAAGTGAAATGTAACGATTTGATAATTCAAATGAAACTAATCTGACAGGTATGGCTAGAGGCAACATTCATGGCTTTCTACAGTCTCGGTCCAGCTTGGGGCGGCATATTGGTGATGGGAAGTCATGTGAAATTTCACTCGAACTGTCTGAGGTAAGGATAAGTATAATGTGTTTTTCCTAGATATCTTGTTATATCAGTATTATTCTCTGCTGGAATATTTGATATCTTGATATCGTCGGAATTTCGGGGCAAGGATTTGCTAGTTAACGGAATGTATGTGAACAATATGGGGCTACATTTGCCTTTGTTTAGCATGAAACCAAACGAAGGCGTAGCACAATGATCATTCACATAAAACATGTCATACCGCAAAATTAACCCCGGTCTCACAAGTAAACATTGTGTTAGATCAGATCAACATATATTTTCAAGTTTTGAACATGTTTTTCTAATATATGTTGTTAATATTACATGTTTATAGAAGATGCTATACAAAATAATCTGCATAGGATTTTTGAAACTGTTGAAAGGAATTCGAGCATCAGTTCTTTTTAGAACTAAGTTTTCGGTCAGTAAGTATCAGAAACACTTGACACGATTTTTGATAAGGTACTCTGGTTTCCTAGCATACACAATTACCTTATGCACGTTCCCAGATTAACAAAAAAGATATAAATTAAACTTTACTACTTGTTTCATGGAAGATATAAAAGAATACTGATATTCATGAGATACTACTGTTTTATAAATATATACAGTTGTGGGACCGCACAACGCACCAAAAATAGCGTGCGCACACCGTGCATACATCTTTCACACACCGTCCGCACATCGTCCACACATGGTGCGCACAACTGTGCGATTTAGCAATCGTTCGCCCCGTTGTGTAATTCTCTCCGCACAACTGTGCGATTTGGTATCATTTGAAGATCAAAGTTACTGAATGACAAAAATACGGAAAGCTTGTATACGATAATGTACACTGTGTATATATCTGTAATTTCTCATCACAATAATCAAGATTACACAATTTCACAATGCGTGTTACACAGTATTACAGCGACCGTAAGGCTGTCAAGAATTGGTTTGGCTATAAGGTAACAGAACAGGTAAATAACATTTTTATGAATGTCCGGAGTTTTACCTGACCAGTGTCTGACACATCGAGCTGATACGCGATACCGTTTGACCGTAATGAATAGTATTTGTTATTTGCATTCGTTTGCCTATGGCTCCCCTTCACCTGGATTTTCAACACCCCCCCCCCCCCCCCCCCGGCCTTACCGGACGAGTTACGTAAGTGCCCCAGGCGGGGAGAAAACTACGGTCCAGGTACATGTACAAAGTGGTTATGTTTAACTATATACGGGATTGTGTTGTAATTTTAAATGTGACGATTAAGTTTGTTTAAAAACACAGAAAACACAATTTCTAAATATAAGAATGGATAGACAGAAAGATAATTATATAAGTTTATAGATGTTGCTAGAATATGGAAACATACGTAAACATCAAGTTTATATATTTCAACAAAAAACCGTATACATCTAAATATAAGAATGGATTTTACACCAACCACGTTTGTTATCGCACAGCGTCCGTCCATCGTGCACACAGATGTGCGCAAGCAATGATCGTCCAGCTTTTTATCGTTCGCCCATCGTGTACACACCGTTCACACACCGTGCACACATCGTGCGCACACCGCACATCGTGTAACGTTGTGCGATCCCACAACTGTACATATTGTTTCCATTGTGATTTTCACTTATTATCGTAATGCTGATTATAATGATTTAACGATCTGTACAAACTTGTAACAAACATGAATTAATCAAAACAACTATAAATCAACTTTTAACATTTGCAATTCATATTTACAGTGAATGATAATTGGAAATTCGTATGTTTCTCCCCTTCGATGACTCATATCATATAAAAGAGAATGGGCATTTTGTTTATATTGAGCATCAAAGCTGTTTATATTAATCATTGTAAAAAAAGAAATCTGCCTACAGGATTTTAGGTAAAACACATTATATTTCTATCTAAAATATACTTGGTAGGGTTATATGCAGTGGAAAATATTATGTTTACATTAGCTTGATTACGATACAAACTTACATTTGTTATTGTTATTATTGTTGGTACATATATACTTTTTGATTATGTTTTTTTTTTTATTGCAGAAATGTGCTTATTGGCGCCATTGGGGATGTTTGTGTATCGGTGTTTAGCAGCGTCGTCCTTTTCGCCGTCATAGGTGTTATGGCGAAAGAGATTAATATTCCTGTTGAGAATGTTGTTAAGTCAGGTATGTATTGTTTTTTAAAATAACTGTTTTTAACACTGTGTAGAAATAAGATAAGTCATTTTTATTTACTAAAAAGTAATTAAATAATTTTTGTTTTTATATAGTTGGACATTTGTACATATTCCATGTATGTGCAAAGCCGTTTGCAATCGATACGGATTGAACGAACTGAAAATCTTTAATGCGAGGGAATTGTGCAGAGCATGAACATTTTTAAATGTTAACGGATTATGCCACACAAAATAATGTACATGTCTCTATTATACAATACACTTCAGAGAAAACAACTCACGTCTAATTCAGTGATCACATGTTTTACTTTTGTGATACAGGCATGTCAATCGGTATGGTCGGTTACAGTCGGGCACTGACTTACCTCCCAGCGCCTTATATCTGGGCAGTGATGTTTTTCTTCGCTATCACTATTGTCGGAATTGACGCACAGGTATGACAAACACCGAGTGAAGTTTATCATTTTAATTAATACTTACAGTGGTTGTTGTTTTTACCATATGGCACAGATTATGATATGTACCGCTGCGACATATTGGCTAGTGTTTCTGACCCTAACTTTGTAGCTGGTATGTTTATGCTGACACGGTTTACATAATATACTTTATAAAAAAGAAAAAATGTGAATAAGCAACGCTTTCAAGTATGTCATAATATTTTCTCTCTATACATTGTATTTACTCACAATGGTTTTTTTCGAATTAATGTTGGACGTTTATCTTAATAGATCAAAGGCAATCAATATAATTTATAAATGAACGAAATGGCCATTTTGAGCCAGAACAACTATTCCTATGTTGGGCTCTCTGCATCAACATGCTACAATTTCTCTATAGTTTCTGTGGTCATTGTTGAACTGATTATTGTTTCACCGATGTTTGTAGGTTGTTTGTACGGAGACCGTGGTGTCTTGTATGGAAGGATTTAGTTCAAGATTAGGTCGACACAGGCACCTTATTCTTGTGATTCTGGTCAGCCTTTTCTCGTTTCTCGGCAACCTCCCATTTTGCACACAGGTAAAATAAGATACATGTATTCACAAAATGTGAAGTTAGACATGATTTGTTTTCAATCGATGCATCTTTTTTTTTTTTAAATGACGTTCTAAAGGAAAATCGTAAGGATTTATGGAATAATGACTTTTGTTTCGGTTCTAGAGGCTACTGGAAAACTGCTGTATGACAAGCTCAAAACTTATCGGTAATGCATCCAAATTATGAAACAAAAGAGGCCTTCATTTCCGCATTGATATGCATTTCTTTTGAATTAATGAGATAGTGACTTGACCATATTTTAACATCCGATTCGAGGTAATTCCAATAAGATGTAGAAAAACAGAAGATTTAAACTCTCATATTTCTTTCGAAAACTTATCCGATTTACTCCATAATATTGTGATCAATGATTTGATAATTGCTCGAAGGGGCACATACCCTTTGCTCTTCAAGTCACACAGATGTTTCAACCAACTGACTGAATAAAACTCAAGTGCAATGAAACAAATAAAACGTCGCTATTCTTTATCGTGTTGATCAATTGTATTTTTGCCGGTCGCTTAATATGCTTTGTTTTACATCATTTCACGTAAACTCTTCATCAAAGGCAACTTTATTGAGATTGTATACTTGAGCAATTGATCGAGGAATACATTGGGAAACCTTGATATTGACGTGCTGACTAATTACTATATATTTCTGGGTACATTTCGTTCATTTTTAACATTTTTAAAGGGGTAAATTTTGGGAAAGTGAGAAGCAGAAGTGGACTAGGAGAGAAATAGGATGGGAAACATGAAATGTTGAATATGTTTTAGTCTGAGTAGTTTATAGAGCAGTAGCCATGTGTTCTGTACTTCAATTATCATAGTGAAGCTAAAATAATCATTTCTTATGCTTTCCTCAAATTGTTCCTTACCCGCTTTTTATGTGACCATCCCTTCATACTAATAAGAATAAGAAATGCACTAATAAAAATGTGCTCATTGTTTCTAGGCGGGCCCGTACATGTTCCAGTTTGTTGATTGGTATTGGCCAACTTGGTCGGTGTTAGTGATAGCTCTTCTAGAGGTTATCGCCATTATGTGGTTTTATGGTAAGTTTGAAGCATAAGTAATCATTGATTCTTTGAATACACACACATTCGATCTATTTCTATAAAAAAAAAAATTAGAAGTATCCTATTTAAAAATGTTATGTGCAACATTGATTATGTATTTTGTATGTATTTTACACATTTTATTCCGTTTTTAAAATCTAATTCTTGATTAAATATGATTGTGTGGTAAGAGAGAAATTTAATCAAATCAATTTATTATATTGGAAGGCATCTGGCATTCCACAACGTTCATACACACTTTACATACTATACACCGCAATAATTTGTTTAATAATGACACACATGTGTTCCCATTTTGTTAAAATTTGACTTCAGGACCCTGTGTATAGCATCGTATTGACTAAATTATAGTGTAATAAAATGACCCAAATGTTTACTTTGTTGCGGTTGTAGGCAAATAATTATGGCATGGATATACTATTTATTGATGTGTATGTAAGCAATTTAAAATGTGTACAACAATACTTAAAAACAAGAAGAACAACAACAACAAAAACATGTTACAATTACCAGCTCAAATATAAAAATATATCTATGCCGATTTCAACGTTAGTTGTCGCTATGTTACATACTAATTTCTGCACAATTAAAAGTTAATTCCAAATTGATACTGCAATTTATTTTAATATTTGACTTCAACACACTATTGTCAAAGGATACTGTCTCCTCGACATTTTTTTTCGAAATGGAAAAACAATGAATTCTCTTCATGGCATAACTAATATGCTCACATACGTTTGTTGAATTTATCAAAGCATCTTTCTGAATCTTTTTCTAAAGTCTCTATTGTCCAATAAAATATTTTTAGATCGGATTTCTAAGGGCGAGCAGCGCATACGTAAAATCATAGTTTATGTATTGGTTACTTTTGGTGCAATTTTGCTTTTGCAGGAGGTGATCGTATTGACTATGGATTAAAAGACATGAATGGACGAAAAATGCCACATTTGTTCCGACTTGTAGCAGCATATATATCACCTGTCCTGTTCCTGGTATGTAATGAAATATAATTAAAATCAAATTATGAAATTCTTGTGAATAAATAATTGAATTAATCGATGAATTATTTCTCGAAAAATTAGAGTAAAGTACAAAAACAAGGGAAAATTTATATGAATATAATATGAGTTTGTACATAAGGTGTTATGTTATTTTTTGGATAATAAGAACAAATGTAAAAAAGAGAGGTTTCTTGGTCGTCAAACAAGTGAATAGGGTTTTGTGAGCCTGAAACGAAATAGTGTTATCTAGTAATATTTCTTTCATTAAAATAAATATTGAAAAGCATCATTCATCATCCTATCCTCCCTGCTTGGAAGAGGTTTAGTAATGATAAAGTGCTTAAGTGATATGTTATGATGACCGTAAAATGACATTGCACTTACAAGTCATCGTTAGGTATACTCAAGATCGGAAAGATACCAATAATGTCAAATATATCACACAAAAATGATTTCGTGTGGTGTTCGTTTCCAGTTCCTGCTCCTGACAAGTTTTGTCATGTACCAGTCACCAAAGTACGGTTCATACGAATACCCGGATGACACGCGCGTCATTGGCTGGGCGCTTTCGTTTACAGTTGTCATTCCCATACCTCTTTACATCGTCTGGCAATTCGCCAAATTACAAGGGACACTAAAACAGGTATGAAGATAGATTCGTGTGTTTGCCAATAAATTCATTCACTCATTGAACGGTTTTCAGGTGGTATTTATAGCCAATATGAATGCCAATTAGAAATGACGAATTCTAAGAAGGGTGTTTTGAATGCAAACTAAAAAATGTTCCATGCTTTATTTACCATCGTTATTTTAGCTCAAAAAAGTGTATGCATCATGTATGTTTGTTAAACGAATAGAAGTCATTTTAACTGAGGGTCAGTGGTATCCAAAGTGGCAAATATGACGTCATAACAGTGACAACCTCAACAGGTTGATCTGTTAGTATTTGCTTATATGAATGTCATTATCAGTTGTATAGTTTGTTTCTCATTCCCTTCAATATCATAGGGCGTCACTTAGGCAAATAAAGGTCAACTACGATAGGCCGTGTCTTCTTTGGACTTCGTTCTTAGCAATGATTGGTAACATTGGCCTTGATACTTCGTCTCTGACATTTTGTGATTCTCATATTCATATACCTATTTATCACCAGAACAAAATCGCTTAGTTGATTAATATCCTTTTTTTGTGTTGATTCCAAATTTAGTCTTTTTTCTCTATTTTTGTGTACAGAGATGGTCAATTCTCACACAGCCGAGTAGTGCTTGGGGTCCTAGCGATAGTGCCCATCGGCTAGAGTACCTGGAGCGGTCACAGGCTGAGCGGTCACTGACAGATATTGCTTACTACAATTTGACTGGTAGACAGAGATACCCTTCAAAGAAGCACTGTGAAACTGTGGCACTGCAATGTACTGACTAAGAAACAAACTTACAGTGTTCTACAACTTACCATGCAATTTACAATTGGTGTATATATAACTGATGTGACATGTGTTACAGTGTTCGTAAATATATGTAACTGAGTCAACATGTATATTTTTCTCTCTTGGATATACTGAAGACAAAAAGTGCAGAATCAGTGTTTGATATAAATCTCAAGCTGATGTTTTGTCATGGCAATTTCATTATCTTTATTTTTAAATGAATCTAAAAAAAACTTATTCCTAAAAAAATGTATTTTTTGCAAAATCGAACAGAAAAATAAAAAAAACATGTATGTATGATTATATGTATGAAGGTGCTTGAGTAAATTTGACATCGCGTGTATCAGAATAAAAAATGAGGTCACCATACTTTCTGAGACTTTCATCGAATCATTAAGAATAGCAACAAGACATAATTGAGAAGTGTCTTCGTGCTTCTTCATTGTCTGTGCGTTGTCCGTTTAGCTCAATACTCGTAATATTTCTCCACAGCTAAATGTACAATGTAGTCATACAATAAAACCATTGAAAAGTATCATTCAGGCACCTCAGACCAGATGTCCAGAAGGGAAAGCCTCTTCTGCATCATCGACGACAACCACCATGTAAATTTAGTTATAAAGCAGATGTAAATCTAAACGTTCAGAACATTCAATCCATGAAGTAAAGGAAATTACATCATAATCGGAAAATTAAGGTAGTGTCTGTTTCTTTGATGTTAATACTATGTCGTTTTTCTAGTTTCATAGCGATATGTAGGATTCATTTCTTGTATTTTACGTACAGGCGACTGTAGTCTTTTATCAATGTTTTTCTCATTATATGTGTTGGTTTTCGAAATGCGAAAGACACGGCCGAACTCATCAGGTATGTCGCAGGTGTGAAAGTACAAGTGAATGATTGACGTTTCCTTTGCAATCTTAGGTATTGAACGAATTGCACGCAATACCGCTCAAACATTGTTGTTCAATGTGAAATAAAACTACATTTTAACAGGAGGATTAATAAAAAATAAGTAATGAATATTGATATGGTTATTCGATAACAGCTTAATACTATTCAGTCCATAGCAGTAAACCAACAAATAAAACAATTAGCCCGACTTATTACTAACACATAAAACAACAATATAAGTGTCATTGATAAGTACTTTGTCTACTTCGGTTGCTATTTCTGATTTCCATATCATATTAAAAGTATTATAAGATAGGTTTAAAAGGAACAAATTGGATAACTGCTGAAGATACAGTTTACTTGGAAGCTCAGTAGAGAACATGTCTCATTCATCAGCGTTTTATTGGTGTTACCATCACAGTCTCTCGGATACAAATACTAAACACTAATCGTTGTGTTAAATGTTGTATTAGTCCTAACGGGTTAACATAGACGTGTGTCTAGCTCAACGGCCTGATCTTGGACTGACAAATAACATGAATACAGTGTAATATCATATCAAATCATTATCAGGTGCAAAAAGGCAGGAAATGCAGTTCAGCATCCCCTGACTTCGACAGGTCATATATACTATGCCTTATCTGACATAAGGCAATTGATTCTATAGCCAACACATGTGCACTGATAACCAGCAATTAACTGTATACCTCTAAACTACGGGACAACAGGAAACTCTATAATTGAACATAAAACAATTGTCTCAATTACACTTGTTCATTTATTTAATCTCAACAATCGGCACCTATTGACTAAAAGCAGGTACTTGCCAAATTTACCAGACTCAAAGGATATACGACGTTTACATCAGACATAGATAGAAAAAGAACTATCTTGCAAAGGTGTTTATGAAAAATAAAACGGGCTGGACACTCGTAGTTAACAGTGGTTGTTTATCTCGTAATCTATCAAAAGAGAAAATGTCCAGAAAGAAGGGATGAAAGAACAAAAATACACATTACCACTTAGAGAATGATACACAAAATACAATAATAAACTTCCGTGTAAATGTTACATACCTGTATTAATACAGGATTGGGATTGGTCATTTAACAAATGTCAATCTGTCCTACCGTGCATATGTATGTATGTATGTATATATGTATGTATGTATGTATGTGTGTTTGTATGTATGTATGTATGTATGTATGTATGTATGTATGTATGTACGTATATGTGTATATATGTATGTATATATATATGTATGTATGTAAGAGTGTTTGTATGTACGTATTTATATGTGTATGTATACGTGTGTGTATAAGTTTACTGATTATGATACTGTTGTATATTTAAAAACGTCTGAATGTGTGTGCTTTGTGTGAAATATGGTACAATGTAGTATGTTCTTGTTCTGAAGATGTCCAATACCCTATGCACAAATGTTTTATTTCCAAATCAAATTTCTGAATGTGATATTGATGAGAAAAAAATTGTTATCGTCCAATTGGAAGGACACCATATTGTTTAGAGGACTGACTCCAGGGCTCCCTAACCCTGTTTAGAGGACTGACTCCAGGGCTCCCTAACCCTGGTTAGAGGACTGACTCCAGCGCTCCCTAACCCTGTTTAGAGGACTGACTCCAGGGTTCCCTAACCCTGTTTAGAGGACTGACTCCAGGGTTCCCTAACCCTGTTTAGAGGACTGACTCCAGGGCTCCCCAACCCTGTTTAGAGGACTGACTCCAGGTCTCCCTAACCCTGTTTAGAGGACTGACTCCAGGGTTCCCTAACCCTGTTTAGAGGACTGACTCCAGGGCTCCCTAACCCTGGCAGCTCCTATTAAATTAATTATATAAACATGTATATACTTATCAGTTTATTACATATACAGTTTTTAGCCGGGGGAAATAAACTATTTGAAAAAAAAAGATGAAACAAACAAAATGTGTTCTCATCCACGTCAGCACGTACGAAGATGTCGTTCTTTTATCTATGGACTGGAAGGAATATCATTGCAATGATTGATCCGTAATGACAACGTTTTTATGGAAAATGAACCGTTACATTTATCAACATCGTAGGGCGGGTGTAAGTCATGCACTGGTTACACATTCTGATTGATTTTGTTAAACCGGCATGTACGTGTATTACACATATAAAACTCATTCGTCTAAGAGTGTGAAATGTTTGTTTCTGAAGACGTTCCATGATTAATATAAGGCATTTATTTACGTAACTTTTAGCCTGTTAACTCCTTTAGAGAATATGGTGTCATTACAAGCCAATATGACAGGTGTCTCCATTACATTATCTAATAACTATATCAATCAAAACCCTCGTATCTTCATTCCGTGATCAAGACAGACTAGAGCGAGTTGAAAGCAAAACATTTAGCGATAATGGAAATGGACACAAATAACAAATCACCGAAATAAACTTTATATGGAATATAAATTCAACCATTCAAACTGCTTTCAAAAATGTCTAAAATATGCAAAAAAATAATTATGTAACATTCTTGTATGCAAAAGAATTATTAAATAAATACATAATGTGTATATATACTGGAATCGAAATGCAATGCATTCAATAAATACTTATAGAATCGGAAATCAATGTCACAATGGTTCCCACCGCGACATTTTTGTCTCCTAGAGGGCGCGGGTGTACTAGGGGGTATCGCTCTTTTTAAAAGGAGGCGCGATCTGGTGTATACGGCCTAATTTTACGTTGACGCCTGTAGTCGCTGATGAATGGTGAACCTACAGGTGAAGTACTGCTGTGTATCACGGTCCGTGTACCACAATGTTCTGGAAGTGGAGGACACAACTTTCCCCGAGAGCCAGGTCTACAACGTAAACTGCAACGTACGGGTGCCCCCGTATGACAAAGAAGAACTGAAGTGGAGGGTCGCCATAATGAGATGCGATCGGGCAAACCGTCACCGGCTGATGTTGTGTGTAACGCACATTTCGTTCAAACTGATTATAAAAACATGATTAGGTATGAAATAGGTAACTTTTTGCTTCTCCTCTTTCATAACTCCCTATCTGAATGATTTGTTGATTTATTTATTTCCTTTCCATAGCTTAAATACTCGCCTCAAACAGTCTATGATTTATGTAAACATACAGTATTATGTCAAATAAAAACTGCAGTACCACCCGAGTTTCCTTTGGCCCAAATACCAGACTTGGACATTTTGACATGTTGATGTCTGGTACCAGACATCTATATGTCAAAATATCTAAGTCTGGTGTCAGGGCCAGCGGAAACTCGGGCTAGTATTGCAGTGCCTACCCTAGATATTGTGCTTACCCTAAAGTTGTTATTGGCATTCATTATATGCACTGTTAAAAGTTAGAAACCCTGCTCTATAGAAACATAGTTTCAATATTTTGCCAACATAAAAAAATGCTTACCTATCTACCATATTTATTCCGAGGATGATAGGGGGAAATACTACTCCAACAGGGTTAGAGGTTTACACGCCGAGATACTTATGACAGGCGTCGCATAACAGTTGGCAAAAACCGAAAGAAAAACTTATCAGAAGGGGATCAGTGGTCATGTTGTAGTGTTATAGTTTAGAATTGATGATGATGGTTTGCTAATTGTCATAATTATTATGCCAGATTTACATTTCATATTATAAATAACAAAAACAATATCTGATTTATAACAAAAATTTAATAAGCTATGGCAATGAATATGAACATCATAATAAAAATAATTATATCTAATTGGCATAGAAACATAGGAATGACTTTGTAAGGGGCAGGACACTTGATAAGGTCATTTATTATTTTTGCATATGACAACTCGGGCAGCCACACATCAAAGCGACAAGCATCATGCAGCTTCTTTTCAAATTAGCGAAGAGCAATTGTGTTGCGTTTAAAATAACAATTACTGAATAATAGAAAAATCAAATTACCCAGAAAAATCGCTCAACTTGTTCACAGTGTGCTTATGGAAGCTGAGCACGTTTTGCTGTACAATTAGAGGAGGTATGAGCCAGAGTTACCAAGGCTTTCAGTTGACGCTAGACTGATATTTTAGAGCATGTTTTTACTCCCTAAAATAAAAATTGACTCCTTGGTTAATTTGACTCCTTGGTTTTA